AATTTAGACTATGGTAATGTGGCACTGTATATAAATATTTCATAATATTTTTTGATAATGTTATGGTCATGATTGACATGTAACTCTTACTTTAGGCTCCGTTCTTTTGGTTTATAATTATAGAGTTGGATGTTGGAAGAAACTGAAAAGAGTTGGAAGAAACTAGGAGTTGAAAAAGTTGGAAGGAGATAAAAAATGATGGAAAAATTTGGATGTTAAAAGGTCACTCAATTAAATGATCACCCAAATAAAAATGTAATAAAATTTCAACTTTCAATAAAAAGAATTCATCAATGTTTCTGTTTGAGGTGACATTTTAGAAATTTGGATATATAATGTTATTGTATATTCATCATACTCCCTCTGTCCATAAAAAAAACTTCCCATTTTACTTTTTCGTTCGTCCACAAATAAACTTCTTATTTCTATTTTAGGTAAGTTTTTATTTGTAAAATATCTTTTTTACCCTTAACTCCATCCCAATAACCCACCTCATCAATCCTCCCCCAAACCAAATGTCGTCTACTCGTCCATCCTATCCCCTTCTTTCTCCTTAATTCTTCCATCTTATCCCCTTATTCCTCCACCTTCTTTCTTTCTTTTCTTCCTATCCCCTTATTCCTCCACCTTCTTTCTTTCTTTTCTTCCGTCATTTTTTCTTTCTTCTTCGTTTTTTCTTTCTTCTTCTTTTTTTTCTTTCAGTCTTCATTTTTTCATTCATTCTCCATTTCTCCCTCTTCCTATACTTTTTCCAATTTTTTTCTTTTTTCTTCCGTCTTCTTCTTCTTCTTCAATCCTTTTCTCTGCTTCTTTCTTTTTCTTATTCCTTCTCCCCTTGGAACATGACAGTATGGGATTGTATCTTCACCGGAGTTAGATTGTCACCCTCACTACTAGATCTGACCGGATCTAGATTTGCACGAAGGTGACAATTTGTTTTCCCAGATTTACGATGGGGAAGTCTGATTAGATCTCTGCGGTGAAAGGGGTTGGGATGACGGGGGTTGCAGACTTGCAGGTCTGCGACGATGGGGGTGGGGGGCTTGCAATAGCAGGGGTAACGATAGCGGAAGGTTGTGGAGGCGGGGAAAGGCGGTGACAAGAACATCGGCAGTGCTGCCAAAGAGCGGTCGGTCGGTGAACCGCCGCGGGCGTTGGCAACACCGGTAGATGGCTTATGGCAGTGGAGAGGACAAATAGGTTGAGGCGTATATTGGGAAAATCAACACAATTTTTATCATACATAAATTTACGTGTCCGGTCAAACCGGGATTTTTTTTATGGACGGAGGGAGTATATAAATACATTTTTTAGTCATGGTTGGAAGAAATCAGAATGAGTTGGAAGCAATTGGAAGGAGTTGGAAGACACTATAAGAAGTTAGAACTTAGAAGTTAATTTTTCTAACTCAAATAGAGTCTTAATTTATTTTTAATGTTTTACTCTGATTTTAGCTATTTTCCCTTCTTTCTACAACTAAAACGGTTGCTCTCTTTTTGTTCCTAGTAAGGATAAATTAAATATTCCCTCTGTCTTTGAGTATTTGTTCATTTTTGATTTTTTTGTCAAAATTGGTAAACTTGACATCAAATTTAATCAAAATGATACAAAATATTGATACAAAAATAATTTTGTTAGATTTATTGCATAAAATATTTATAAAGTATTATTTTATCTAATTAATATACAATATATATTTAATTTAATTATAGATCAAAAGTTAGAAATAATTAACTGAAAAAGTCAAAACTTGACAAAATACTCAAAGACGGAGGTTATAAATTTGCTGTTTATGAAAAAAACAATGGCGCCCTATACTAGTCTTATTTACGGAAATTGCATTAGTTTTGGTCTTATCATAGTTTTCAGAACCGAACCAGTGATCGAACCGGTCAAGACACTGGTTCACTGGTTTACTGGTCGAACCAGTGGTTCGAGTGGTTGAACCGGTGGTTCAAACATTTTTAATAAATAGATAAATATATAAATATAATTAAATAAATAAATAAATATATATATATATATATATATACACACACACACACATACACACACACACTGCGCACACACACACACATTGTGGCATTGAATTAAAAAACTAATATATGATTAATAAAATAATATTTCCTCTATTTATAAATAAAGAATTGATGTTTGACTAAATTTATAATTTAACTTAATTTACTTATTTAAAAAAATCTTTGAAATAAAAAGTGATTTGAATTTTTTTAAACATTTTATCTCGTATTTAAAAATATATATAAAATATTTGTGTGACATGCAGTCCATATCAATTATCTCAATTGGTTATGAATTTTAGTAAAAAAAAACTATATATACTTAAAAAGTACTCCCTCCGTCCCACATAGATCTTCCCAATAGCCCTTTTTCTTTGTCCACAATAGATCTTCTCATTTCATTTTTTAACAATTAAAATACCACAACTACCCCCACTTACTTTATTTATTACACCTCACTCACCTCATTTAATACACTCCACTCATTTTCATTGAGGGTATTATGGTAAACTTTCACCTTTTTTCAACTCTCCTTAAAAACTACCAAAAGTCAAAATGAGAACATCTTAGGGGGACGGAGGGAGTATTTGATAAAAAAATTTGAATAAAGAATATACAAAACGAATAGTAGAAAGTTAACATCAAGCATTGTAGCAGAGATGGCTTGGAGAAGCTCCTCTCATAAAAAAATTGAAAAAACCGGAACCGAAGGTTAAAACCGGCCGGTTTTCTCCGCTTTTAACCGGTTTCCACCGGTTCATAGTCAAAGGCGGTCTGAATGTCCGGACCGGACCGGTTTGGTCTCCGGTTCACCTGTTCCTGGTCCAAACCGGCCGGTCTGGTCCGATTTTTAAAACTATGGGTCTTATACACGGAAAAGAGAGTGAAGTACGGAGTAAAAATTTTTGTATGTGAGAGAGGATTTGTTTAATTTTGACTTTTATATTTAAAATTATCAAACTTTTACCATTAATTATATAAAATTTATGCTTCTTCTATCCAGATTTAATCTTTTTCATTTGCATTTTTAAGTCAAAGTATATAAACTCTGACTTTGATTTACAAAAAAATACGTTGTGTTTTATTATAAATATAAAATCAATAGTTTTCTATTGAAATATAATTTTGAAATATTAAATTTGTATAATATACTCCCTCAGTTTCCATTTTGATTACAAATTAGGGTTTACGAGAAAAAAAATATTTCAATTTTTTATATCATTTTATTTACAAATTGGTATATCAATTAGAAATAAAAATTACATATTAAAAAAATACATCAAAAGTTCTACAAAACAAGAAGTGACGAAAATATTTTATTTAATCAAATACTTAAGTAAATCGTGAAAATACACAAAGGTTATCGAGAGAAAAGAGGAAAAATTGTAATAAAAATGGGGACGGAAAGAGTATATATATATATGTGTGTGTGTGTGTGTATGTATGTATGTATGTATGTATGTATGTATGTATGTATATAGTGTGTGTGTGTGTATATGCATAAATAGAGATATTAATAATATTCAAGTTGTTGATATTAAATCTGGATGGAGAGAATATTAGATATTGAAAATATATCAAAATAGGACTTCCATGTTTTTATTTCTCGAAATAGGATTTACATTACCAAACATGGTCATGTACATTACCAGAAAAGTATAGTAACGTGCACATGTAGAGTGCCACATTATCACAATGCAAAGTCCTATTTCGAGAAAAAAACATGAAAGTCTTATTTTAGTACTTTTCTCTATGTTTTAGTCCTATTTTGAGTGATTTCTATTAGATGTATCTTTTAAAATATTACTCCCTCCGTCTCGGAGTATTCGTCCAATTCTGACTTTTGGAACTGTTCATCTAAGCACTCTGACTCATCAAATTCTCTCAATGTGTAAGCCTAAATATAGTCATGTGTGATTTTGTTTGATTTGTCTTAACATATAGATTATTAATATATAATTTCTATAATTTTTTAATATACAAATTACAAGATAAAATGGATTAAAGAAGTGTATTGGATGTTGTGTAAAAATGAAAGTGGACAAATACTCTGGGACGGAGGTAGTATTAAAATATTACTTTTATACCATATAATTTTATTTAATTATAGATTGAATGTCAATCTTTGTTGACTGTAAAAAGTCAAATTGAGCGAACTTTTAGAACGGAGTGAGTATAATTAAGAAAAGTGTTATATTAAGGGAGAAAATATATGATACTCCCTCCGTCCATGAATAATCTTCTTGTTTTGACTTTTTTGGTCAAATAGTGACCTTCTTTGACCCCGAATTATGAAAATAGTATATTGAATTATAATAAAAATTTAATACAATTGGGTTCATCTTAAGATATGTTTTTGACATTTCAAATTTGATAATATTTATTTATTTAGATTATGTTTAATTTGTGGTCTAAGAGTATTGACCCAAAAAACCCAAGACAGAAAGAATTTTCAGGCCAGAAAGATTGGAGTATAACACAATAAGACTTGAAAATACTCCCTCCGTCCGGAAATGTTCTTTTTTCATTTGACTTTTTACGGTTTCCAAGATTGTACTTTGACCACTAATATCTTTATTTATGCATAGATATATTTTATAAAAATTTGATATTTGAAAACTATATTTCAAAATGAATATATTCATATTAAAATTATATTGTAATACAATGTATTTTTTCCACATATCATAATCAAAGTTTACAAATTTTGAACAAGAAAAGTCAAATGAGAAGAATATTTCTGGGCGGAGGGAATATCTTTTTTCCAAAGAAAATGTGAGTTTCAAACTAACATCGGAGAAAGACACCAACTAAACTTTTTTTTTGGGAGAACACCAACTAAATTTTAATTTCAAATATAGTTGTAAGTAATAGAATTGTTATTGTTTATCATTCATAAGTTTTAAACAATAAATAAAAAAAGAAAAAGAAGTATAATACTCCGTATTACTCGTATGAAAAAAGCTCTAGTCCATCACGTACCTTTGTCAATGGTTGTTCGTTCAACCACAATGTTGGCAATGTTCCATTATACATTTTTGCCTCGAAAAAAAGTGGCCCTACAACGACACATCGGGACCGCAACGTTTATTTATTTTAAATTAATGAGGTAGTAGAAAAAAAAGTGATTTGAAATTTATCACAGTAATCAAATTTGTGAAGATGTTACTTAAAATTGATTATTATTACCTATTTCATAGACAAGCCCGGTTAAAGAGGAGCAGCCTTGTTCTCCGGAGAGCCATAGGATAACAGGATCGTCTTTGGGATTTGTTTCGGACTTCACGAAGTAGTAGAAGAGTTGTATTTCTTCCGATTCACCCACCCCAATGTATCTGTAATTAAGTTATTTATTACAAATAATTTGATGTATCAAGTTTTTATACTCGCTAATATTCCTTTATTTTAAAATATTTAGTTCATTTAATTTTTTGTCAAGAACGGTCTATAACGTCAGACTAGCACAACAATTCTAGAAGGGTGGTATATACCACTAGTAATTAATTAATTATACTCCATACGTTTTTCAAAAATCTTTGAGTAAATTTCATAATTGGTCCTTTATAACAGGGAGTTTTCCATATTTAGTCTTTTAATATCAAATATTACCCTCGTAGTCCTTTTTTAAGGGTGCCTTTTCACAAATAGTCCTTTTTTTCTGCCATGTTGGTGTTAATTTAAAGGCTAAAAGTATAATTTGACATCAACATTATGTCTAATGACGTGTTCTGATATTGGTTAAGCGGATAACACAAAAATAATGACTATGATTGTAGGCTAGGATCGATTTCGACGAAAGGCCACATTTGTAGACTATGGTTGTAGTAGAAAGCGATTGTAATTCACAAACAACGCAAACGGAACAGCCTTTGGAATTGAGTATGACAAAAAAGATATATTATCATTGTGAAATTATACTTTTAGCCCCCAAATTAACACCAATATAATAGAAGATCAAAAAAGGACTATTTGTGGAAAGATAGCCATAAAAGAAGGACCATTGGGGTAATATTTGATAATAGAGGACTAAATAGGGAAACCCCCATGTTATAAAGGGCCAATCATAGAATTTACTCAAAATCTTTCTACTTTTATTTTTGATATGCCCCCAAAAAAATCATATTCCTCCGTCTTAATAGTTATTATTATTATTATTATTATTATTATTATTATTATTCTTATTACCATTATTAGTATTTCTATTATTATTATTATTATCACTATTATAATAACAATTTTAATTTAAATTTTAATCGAATTTTATTAGATTAGATCCAATCAATACAAACCAATTCAAATTAGATTCAATAAGATAAGTTCGGATAAGATCCAATTAGATCAGATTATATCTAATCAGATTATATCAGATCTGATCAGAACTTTAAAGAATTAGATCATATCAGATTAGACGAGCAGAACACTATCTTAAGGGCTTATAAATACATTATTTTTTCTTCTTTATTTTCGAATGTGGTGGTTTGGCAATACTCAAGTGTAAACAAAAGTACAACTAGTTGAGGCACAATACGTACATTACTATACATACACACAAACGGAAGGAAGACTAACTATATAGGGATATTGATAGTTAAATTGAGTATTGCATTATTAGATATATGTATATTGAAATAAAAAGAAATTAAAGATACGAAAGTTTCGTATACGTACCCAGTCTCAAGATGGAAAGGAAGGGGTCCGTCAAAGCCAGGGAGATAGTCAACGACCTTTGAGCCGCCGGCTGGGGAGCTGATCACTTGCTGCGGGAAATATTCTACCGCTGCTGCTACAAGAAGTATAACACCAATAACTCGTAGAAGAAGAGCATTATTATTATTATTTTTATTATTATTTGTGCAGAAACGTGAATTATAGTAATGGGCCAATAATGGTATCATCTTTCAACTTAAACGTGACTTGCTGCGAGGAATTGAAGTACAAAAACAACTTTCTTTTCTGGGTTGTATTTGCGGAAGTTATTTACTACAGCATAAGTTAGTGATGAAATTACACCGGCCTATCCGTATTATTTATAGATGAAAATCATAGTCAGTTCAACTGCGCACGCTAGCTTAGGTTTGTGCATACATGTTTCGTACTTGGGGTTAATAATAATAAAACAGGGGAGTTGGTTAAGGTTAACCGTACCACCGACTCTAAATAAAAAAAGAAGTGGGTCTGGGTCAAGGTCTCAACTCTCAAGGACCAACGTTTACGCGCGTTTCTTATGGATTAGTTGCATCAGTTTCTCATCGCTCAATACTAATTTTTTTTCCTGCTAGGTGATCAAAGATGGATTTCGATCCACCTCATATGTGAAATATACTCCCTCGGTCGTCTCACTTTAAATTTCTTGTTTTGGTTTATAATATTTGACTAAATCTATTTTCATATCATTATATATAAAAAAGGTATAGAATTAAATATAAAAATTACATATTAAAAAACTATATCAAAAGATCTAAAAAACTAGTGGTGACATGACTATATTATTTTATCAAATGACTAACAAAAATAGGGAAAGAAAGTAAATAAAACTTGAACTTGTAAATAAATAAACGGACAATTTAATTTGGAACAGAGGAAGTAGAATAAAACACCTTATGCCTCAGACTATTTGTCCTGTTTTGATTTTTTACAATTACTTTGGATCGATCCTTGACCTATAGTCAAATAAAAATTACTCCTATATGATTTCTTGATTAGATAGAATAAAATTTTGAAAATGCTTTACAAGACAAATATAATGAAATTATTTTGTATCAATATTTAATATAAATTTTATTGAGTTAATGGCCAAATATTATCAAATATTACTGCAAAAAGTCAAAAGTGAACAACGATACTTAAGATTGAGGTAGTATATTGGATCATAAATATAATACTCCCTCCGTCCCACTTGAATCTCTACGTACACTATTCACAGGGTCAAACTTTATATACTTTGTTTCCCAATAATTTTCATTACTCATTTGATAATGTAATATAATCATGTCATTTCTAGTTTTGTAGATCTTTTGATATAGTTTTGTACTCCCTCCGTCCCATAAAGTCCTTCACGTTTCAAAAAAATCGTGTCCCTAAATGTCCATCCCAATTCTATTAAAAAACCATTTTTACCCCTTACCTTTTCATACTCTACCTATCACATCATACCTTTTTCCTAATAATCTACACATCAAATCTTACTGTTACCCATCACATCAAGGGTATTTTTGAAAATTCAACACAAAATTATCCCTCCTTATTTTACCACTTTAGTCAAACCGTCCCTATCTTTATAAGACAGAGAGAGTAATATATAATTTTTTTTAATTTTACACATATAATCAAATAAATTGATGAATTGAAAATAAAGTTTGTCAAACATTGTAATACAAACCAGAAAGATACAAATGGGACGAAAGGAGTAAATAATATGGACCCACGATATTTTGTGGATTTCAAATAAGGAGAAAGTCATGATCCTTTTGGGCGATACCATGCCAAGAAGGCATTTACTATTAATATGGAGTGTATAAGTACAATATATGGCTGAATGACAATCAATGAAGCTTGAAGGTCAATGGAGAAAATGATGAATCTTAGAGGGATATCCAATGTGTGAAATAAGGAATCCTATGGTTAGGCTTTCCCTAATGGACTTCTCTCATGGACCTTTCATCAATGTTCGCTAACTCGATCTCCTTCATAAGACCTCGAGTTTCTTAATCAATCTTTTGACCAATAAACTATACTCTTTACTCGTCTACATAAATTCTTTAATTTAATCAACAGTTTTCTTTCTCTAGTTGATGGATTTTAGATCCAAGGGTAGTAGAAACTTTAGTCGATGTGCCCACTCCTTAGAGGGGGTGAATAAGGCGTTTGAGTAAATTTTAAAACATGTTTTTGACTCTTTTATTTATGATAAATGATGCTCATTAAAAAGATGATTGCATTAAAATAAATTTGGAGTAATAAATGCAATAAATAGTAGCGTAAAGTAAGTGCACCCTAGTCATGTACTTTAAAGCTCCTCCTTAACGATTTCCAATCCACTAGAACGCCTTGATCGTCTCAACACTATCGTCACGACGTAACTTGTTTTGGAAAACAAACCTTTGCCAATAGGTTTACACTACATCAACAATACTTCACACCTTGAAGTTTACAATTAGCTTGAGGATTTTCTAACAGCTATTCCTAACCGTTTCAACAAGCATTTCACTGATGTTCTTGACTGCTACCGGAGATTTCACAATGGCTATCTTCAACCGTTCTTCAATGAAGATTTTACAACAGATATCTTTGACCATTACATTCAATATGAAGTTGAATTATATGAATCAATACCGCCTCAAGAATTTGGGTCGGTGTGATAATATTTATACACTCCAACAATTACAATTCTCTTATAGATAATGTTAGTGTATATCTCTTTTGATCAAGTTAAATGTGTGTTCAAGACAATATAATGAAAATTGCTCTTAATAGCCTAATATAAAATCAGAGATTTTATGAATATGAAACAAAAGAAATGAGATGGTTTGTGCTAAGCCCGATTGATTAAAACATTGAAACTCATCATAGTACTTAGGAAAATTCTCCACTAGTTGGGTCGTCTGATACCCAATTCTCTAGGCTTGTTGATTTAGTTCCCTTTTCGATTTGAACTATACGAATATGCTTTAGGTCATGTAACGCCCCAAAACATACCCTAAAATTATTAATGAATAATTAAAAATTAAATCAAATTTGTTTTGATTTAAAATAAATTGTTATTGGGCTTTGGGCGGATACAGAATACGTTTTGATATCTAATTAGGATAAATCTCATGGCCTGGAGATAAATCCAATATATTGACTATTTGTGTGGTCTTGATTGAGAACTTGAGTACAAACCCAAATCAAGAATAAATGAAGAAATTATTTATGATGTGAACTTTAAAATGATTTATTGAAATAAATAATGAGAATAATTAATATGAATCAAATATGAGAACCTTTTTGAATATAAAAGTCAGTTGAATCAATTTTTATTGGAACACGGGTTTACGCCTACGTCGTACTAAACCGTATTCGTTGTATGACAGGTTTTGATAATGCCATTGGTGGTCCCAAAGTGGTGAAATACAAAGTCTAGAGGGGGGGGGTGAATAGACTTTGTTACAGATTTAAAATCTTTTTCGTTTCTTTTGAAAACGTGAAAATAAGTGTTAATCTAGAGTTCTTGTGAACTTTAGATTGTGTGCGGAATTTGGTGGGTAGAGTGAGCAGTAATCAATATGGATGGGTTAGTTTTCACAGTTAATATAATTGCAAGTAAGAGTGAAGATAAAAGAGAGAGACACGCAAACTTTAACGAGGTTCGAAGGTGGGGTAATCCTTCTACGTCCTCAAAATCCACTATGTAGTTGGTTGTTGAATAATGAACTAACAATTACACTTGTGTGAATTTCTGCACGGTATATCTTCGTAAGGCCAATGTTGCTACTGCACTCGTGCTGGCTTTGTTGTTCTTTCGAAGGTCACGCTTCTTCAACAACTACAACGTCCGAACAATAGGACTTGCAAGATCAACTTGTAAGAAAGTTGACCTACCCCCTTTTAATCAATAAGTTTGATCAAAAGTTGTATCCTTCAACGTGGTGTGGTACTTGAGGCAAGGAAACCTTCAAGTGTTTACACTATAGCTCTTTGGAAGGAGGAGGAGTTTGCTTCTGGATAAGGAGTTTAGAAATCTCTCTTTATCAAGCTTTTTGGGCTAACTGTTAATGAGATAGCTTTGTTGTTAGATTGCTTCGTTGTGTTGTTGTATCTCTTCGTTCATATATTCTCCAGTCTTCCAAGGGTGCTATTTATAGCTGGATTGGATAATCTATCCGTTGAATCATAATAGACTATCCGTTGCATTTGCTGGCTTCAATTTTGAATGAAGATTGTGATTTGAAGATTNTTTTCTAAGTCTTTTCTCACTTGTCCGCTTTCTGAGAATTCCGGTCTTCAATGAGTCTTCCGATTCTTAGCTGACAAATCCGGAGAAGTCATTCTTAGACTTCCGGGTGAGAAAAAGATCCGCGCTAGTCTTCCGGTTTGGATGACTTAGCCTTCAGCGGGTTGTAGCGAGACATCCGGTACTTATGTAGTCTTCCGGATCAGAGGATTTTCATCTGATTGAGAAATCCTTACTTGTCTCTGAAATTTCTGATCAAGATATCCAATTTCCATATCACCGAAAATGATTAAGTCTTCAGGCATCAAAACGCTTAAAGAAATATCACAACTTTATTGGAAATCTCAAGAACTCGGTTTTAACAATATTTCTAAAAAGAAAAATTACATTGAATATTGGGGGAGACCTAAAGTCCCTATTACATTCTAAATACATCATCATCAAAATCTATAATATTTTTCCCAACAACTTCCCCCTTTTTGATGATGACAGACAAGTGTTTAAGAGTTCCAGTCGCTGTACTGAGAACTAATTTTATAACTTTCTTTTAGTTTCTCATAATATACAGCTTGTTAACAAAAACTCTTAAGCAAATACAATTCAAATTACAACAATTCCTAAACCAAGTCTTGTCTTGAGATTTTGTGATATCTTCCGCCATTGACTGTTTTCAGCTTCAGCAGATTCTGCTTGGCAGAGCGGTTGGCATTGCGTTTGATAGATCTTTAATATCCAAAGTGGATATTCAAGATCTTGGAAGCAACACATCTCTTAAAAAAAATAAAAACAAAAAAGAAAGAAGAAAACAAAAGAGAGATAAAATGACAAGAAAGAAAGGTTTTGGAAAAGAGAATTGATTGTGAAAAAGATAAAATAAGGTTTTTAAAGATGAAGGCAAAAAAAAAAAATTTTAAAAAAATGCTTGGGAGAATGGAGCAGAGGCAGCACAAAAAAAAATTTTAAAAACTTGTAAGAAGAGTGTGGCGACTGCTCAAAAAAAATTTAGAAAAAGTAAAGAAAGGAAAGGGGAGGGGAAAGAGATCAAGGTAAAAATAAAAAGAAAAATAGAGAGAGTGTTGTTCCAGAGAAAGTGTATGGTATAATCCTGAAAAATACGAGAATTACACCATAAACTTTCTCTACTGCCAAGAATTGCACCATAAACTTTAGTTTATTTTCCTTCTCACTAGGCTTTTCTCCATTGCCGTCTATGAGGGCGAGAAAGAAAAATTTCTCCATTGAGGGTATTTTCTTGGTGTTTTTCTCAGACAGTGAATTTGAAGACTTTCATATTGAGAGAGTTGTTTGTGATGGAAATGGATTGAAATGTCTTGATTTAAATAGGGGAGGAGGAGGTTCACGGGTTCCTTTAAGAGAGTAGTTGGAACGGTGAGAGTAAAGGAGTTTCAACTTCCAAGAAGTTGAAAAGTAAAAGAAATCTTTTTCCAGTTACCAATGAGTTGAAACTGTTCCAATTAGAAAATCAGTTTCGTTTGGTTTGAGAGACGTAACTGTTTTAGTTTGGCTAAGCCCAAAAGAGTGGCCCAAAAAGAAAAGAAAGCTATGTACTAAAGGGAAATTATTCCTATTGGGTTCTCAAGGCCCAAAATAACACTATCATTTTTCATTCCCTATAGTTCTAATTTCTACTTAGGACGAGGTAGTACCAAAACAAATATGAATTTTATTTTTAAAAGAAAAGTGGTACTATTTTTCCAAAGTCCTGTACATTATAAAAATCCTAAGGACCAGTGCTTTTAGAGCTAGTTGGAAAATGAATTAAGGATTAAAGCTTAATTTAAGAAGGCAGATTTTGTAAAGTACCTGAATCGGAGATTTCCAATTTTAGTACCAAAACTGAGATATCCGACTTCCATTGCTTAGAGCTCATCAATAATTCATAGCCAAAAACAATTATTAGCCAAAACTAGTTAAGTCCCCCCTGAATTTCATTCCCCCCTAAATGTATGCGCTTCAGAAAACAAATTTTCAAAATCATACTTGAGATAAGCATAATAAGTATAATTAAGAGAGATATTGAAGCAATGTTTAAACCAATCAAGCAATGTTTAAACAGGAAGGTGTTTTCAACAGGAAGGTGTTTTCATCAAAGCAAATTAGTGTTTTCACAAACTTTCCCCCTGGTTTGATGAAAAGAACCTTCAATTCCTCTTGCGTTTTGAAGATCCGGCAACTTCACTAATGCCCTTCATGTTTCCACATAGTTCTTTGATTCGCCTTAGGTTGTTGCGTCTTTCCTTTGATTGAGCATCATTTGAGAAGTGGTCAACAACTGTACCTATGAATTCTGTTCCATCCAGTCCTGAGCTGGATAGATGCTGGGCTGAGTTTTCCGGATTTCTTTGCTGTGCTTCAAGGATTAGATTTGTCATGTTCAGATGAGAGGGAATATAAGATGCTTCTCCTTCTTTGATTGCAATAGGGAGATGTGGTATTGGAGATGGACTGTGTTGTTGGAGAATTACTTCCATCATGCGGTTCCTAGAATTTGCGCCAATAAGTCTGAACAGCTTGTGTGCTTCCTTTTGATTGTCAATGATCACCTTCAAGTAGTCTTTGGTCACTACCTGATTAGCAGAAGCTACTGCTAGGGCTGATCTGATGTCCATTTGGAGAAGGGACATCTGTTTTTGTAGACCAACTGTGACACTCGCTATTTGCTCTTTGACTTTGTTGAACTCTTTGAATTGAAGTTGACTGTCAGAGGCATATATTTCCATCGTGTTGCTCACAGTGTTACTCAGTAGAGAGATAATCTCCAGAGTTTTGTGCACTGATTTGCTTATCTCTTTGAGATCTGTGTTGTGCTTCTCTTCAGATTTCTCTATAAGCTTGGTGTACTTGGCTTCCATTTGCTCTACCTCTTGCCTAAAGGAGGCATGTTGAGATGCTAGGGCTGATTCAATCAGCCCTTGGACCTTCTTTGTCCAGATTTCCGATACAATATCCGGAAGGATAGGGGTGGAAGAGCTATGGAAATGAAAATTGGTTACCTGATGAGAGGATGGTGTTCTTTGGAAGAGTTGCATAGGAAGAGATTCAGCATCTTGTACATCTTCTTCATCAGTAACCTTCAGTGTTCTTTCAGACTCTCCTTCTGCTTCATCAAGCACAAAGTTTGATATATCAGGGAGTCTCTTTCTTCAGCTTCAAATTGTTCTTCAAGAATGGCTCTTGGAGTTTGACAGACCTCCACTTCTGCCATTTGAGTTTCCTTTTCAGCTTCTCCGGAATTCCTTTGGACTTCTACAGCTTGCTCCTCTTCATTTGTTTCTGGAAAAGTTGATTGTTCCAGAATTTCTGCTAACTTCTCCGGGATCTCAGTTTCAGTAGGATTGGAGATCTCACAAGGAGTTGTGAGAATCTCTGAAACTTGAGATTGGATTAGTTGCTGAAATTCTTCTTCTGCTGCTGTTTCCTGGTTCTGTTCTTGTGGGGGAGAGGCTGCTTTCTTTTGGATAGCTTCAGTCAGAACCATTTCAGAAGCATGTGAGGTTTCCTGAAGAGCAGGTGAGGTTTCCGTTTCAAAGGCAGGTGAGGCTTCCGGAAATGTTTGGAAGTCCTCAGCTGTAGCTTCCAAAACTGCTTGTGCTTCAGAAGTGAGAGCCACCTGTTCTTCTCTGGCTTTAGAGAAGACTGGTTTGTAGACTGAAGGGTCTTCATCATCTACTTCAAATTCTGAAATTGGTGAGTTGGCTAGGTATTCCAGATGCAGGTCTTCATGGTTCCTTTGCCATACCCAGTAGTCGTCCAAGATTTCTTCACAGCTATGGTTGACTGGTATTCCTAAGCATTTCTTGATGATCTTCTCATTCTTCAGCTGTTGGTCCCAATCCATCAGTTGCTCTGCTGAATTTCCAACTTTACATGCTCTCCAATCATAGTAGAGCTGCCAGAATTGGTTATCAGCATCATCCATTTGAGGTTGAGGTGAGGAGGTTGGAAGGCTTTGGACTTGAGGAATTTCTTCTTCAAGTTGTTGAGGACTCCGGTTGTGGGTAGAGGTTTCCTCAGCAAGTTCCTTCTCCTTCAACTTATCCGAGTTGACATATCCAGATGTTGAGGGAGAGGAGAGTTTCCTCTTCTTCTTCCTCTGAAGTTCTCCTTGCACAGAGACTTCTTCTTCTTCTTCCACATTTACCAGAGCAAGGTTCTGTGGTGCTTCAACACTAATGGAGGGAGACACCACTTGCTTCCTTTTGGCAGTCTTTGCCATATGGATGAGTGGAACATTGTCTGATGAGCTTTCTTCTGCAGTTGCACTAGCACTAGCTCTGTTTTCTCCTTTGGAGGATAAGTAGTATAGCCATTATCTGGCTTCATACTTTTTCCCTTTAACTGCAGCGCCCATAGATTCCAAAATATGTCCAATATACAGTCCTTGACAAAGGTACTTCTGACTGTGCTTTCCCAGATGTTTTGAGATGGATTTGAAAAAGTGTGCAGCCCAATTTACCTTAGTTTTGGTAATGAGAGAGTTGATGATGAAGGCTCTCTCCTGGGTGATGTCATCGGCATGACCTCCACTCCCACATTCGAGGCAGGCGATGACTAGTTCTAAAACCAACTTGTAATCGTTGTTTAGATCTGCTTTCTTCGCTGTGCCAGAAGGAACTTGCCCAGAGATTCCAATGATGTTCCAGTCCAGATTTTTGACTGGAAATTTCCCAATTTCAACTCCAGAATTTGGAAGGCGAAGCTTTTCTCCCAATTTCTTCTGCGAAAGCTTCACTTTTGTGCCTCCAACAGTGGACTTGATGACTGGAAACGTCCTCTGTGGGTCCTTCTTTGAATGAGCAGTTTTGACTTCTCCATTTTTGTAGAATTCAAGAACTTCTTCCTCGAATTTGAGGCGAATCTCCATTTGAAGAAATTCGGAGAGTTCTTGAGCGGCTATCATTTCCAGATAGCTTTGAAAGAATGTCGATGAGGAGCACTTGGCTTCTAACTTCTGGAAATGAATATTAGCGCCGACAACCTTCATTTTCTCAGAAATTTGAGTGAGAATTTGAGAGAGAAAGATCTAGGGTTCTTGAGAGTTTTTCGCGAAGAAGACGATGAAAAATTTTGAATGGGCGGTTTAGATCTGAATAGTGGCGATTGGGTTTACCCAATATATTGACAGACGTGGAAAGTGAACTGCCACGTGTACCGCACTCAGTCTAATTGAATTAGACCAATTTTGTGAAGCAAATCGGAAAACTTGGCTTCACTTAGTGGTTTTGTGAAGATATCCGCCAGTTGATCTTCAGTTGAGATATACTCAATTTTGATATCTTTCTTTTCCACATGATCTCTGATGAAGTGATGCTTGACATCAATGTGCTTAGTGCGAGAATGATGCACTGGGTTTTGAGAGATGGCTATAGCACTTTGATTGTCACAAAAGATTGTCACTTCCTTTGTCTTGACTCCATAGTCCAGTAGTTGTTGCTTTAGCCACAAAATTTGAGCACAACAACTACCAGCAGCAATGTACTCTGCTTCTGCTGTTGATGTAGAAATGGAGTTTTGTTTCTTACTGAACCAAGAAACAAGATTTCCACCAATGAATTGACA